TGTTTCTTCGTCTTTTGAAATACTTGTTTCTTCGTCTTTTGAAATTGTCACAATATGTTCCAAAGTGAAAAGGCATATGTACACCAGTCCCCCTGTCGAAAGAAAAAGAGAAAAAAGCAATGTTAAATTGTTCTATTTTATAGATATTTTTTAGTGTCATGCTCATCAAAGGCTTGAAGAAAAACAAGAATCTAGGACAAACTCCATTGTCATGCTTCTACAAGAATAAAACATTTTTCAGGGAAAATGGTAACAATAAATTAAAATGAAGATTTAAAATACATCTTAAATCCATAAAATATGATGTCCAGCTCAGCTAGAATTGTTTATTCCCCCTGCCCCGTCACGACCCCACCCTAATCCGGCTCCTAATGTAAAAAGGTTTGTTGATATTACAACATGTAGAGACAATATTGTGTAGACTCCCTACAGAATCTTTAAGATTATTTATATGAACAAAATCAGACTACAATGTTCTGACAGATTGCATTTTATTTTAATTTTTCATGGCAATTGAATTTATCTTTTGTAATCCATTATTGTTATTCTTATTTTTATTTAGGAATTAGAGTGGAATTTGTTTTATTCAAAGTAGAAACTGAAAGAAAGTGTAAGGATAACACAGGAATCATTTTAACTATTTGATCATACTCTGTGTGTCTTATTATTTCCTGTCGTTATAAACATTTTTAGGCCAGTTTTGTTACCAATTGGAGGCTGTGTAGCAATAACAACAGGTAGAACTGTCCTAACATTTCCCTGTGTCCTTGTATGGCACCTAGTCAAACTGACAAGTCATGTAATGTGATAGAAGTCACCCTTAAACTGTTTCTGTCTTCTGGTTTTTCAGTTTGCAGAGGAAAACAATCTCATGTTTTTTGAAACCAGTGCCAAGTCTTCAGGGAATTTAGAACAGGTAAAGGGCAGTGATTATATATAAACTTTATTTATTTTACAACAATTGTGAAACAAGTTTTATTCACTTACATTAATCACTCTTGTTGGTCCAGATTGAAGTCACATTTGATTGTATGGTGAGAAGAAACAGAAGTTTGAGGAGAAAATCCATGTAGACTGGGGAATCACCTTATTCTGTGTGAAGATTTTGTCATTAAACCGTGTAACATATAGCCACCTTACAATGCATTATTCTTGGAAATTTGTCATTGTAAACATTGTTGGGAATGGGTCTGGACTATTGAGTAATGACATTTCACAGTAAAATGTTTTATTTATAAACATTGAACAAATGTCACATGACTTCTGTAAGGGAGGTAGATAATAATATTGATGTGCTAACTGGTGAGACTGACTTAACATAAGTCAACCACAAATTTAAATATTTCATAAATATTTATTCAGGTAAATGAAAGCCAGGTGATGTTTTAATTATTGCCAATTCCAATTCTTGATTTTTTTTAACACAGTTGCATATACATTGCTAAGTTTCACAACAGGTTCAATTTCAGAAATGCATACAAATCTGCAATTACAGGAATGTTGGATGTTGTATGCTGTGTAATAGACAATATGATGAAGCATATTGTTGTGAACTGGTTTAATGTATTCATGATTCACAAAATTAACATATTTAAGGTATTAATCCACAAAACATTTATACATACGAAAAATTAGTAGAAATGCATTAAATATAAGTTTGTGATTTAGTCATACATTGTGCCATAACTGACTTTCCGATATCTTGAATAAATTTCTTTTGACAGGCGCTGTACGTCATGTGTAAATCAGTGTTAGAGGTAGAGCTTAACAAGACGTTGAGGCTATCCGACATCAATATCAGTAACACGGTACACGAGAGAGGTCTAACGACGCCTACTGATGGCAACGCCAACAAGTACAAACCCTCCGTGAACCGAGAAGTGGCCTACCAACACACAAATGGACATAACAGTAGTGGCTATGAAGGTCAACTTGGTGATACAGACAGGATCAACCTCCTTCAGGACGAGAAACAGCAGACCTCAAACACTTGTTGTAGTGTGATGTGATATACAGATTGAGGTACCAGGTCTATTTGACTGAAAACAGGGGCAGAATTATACAAAGTTCAGAATGATGTACCATGTTGATTGTATTCTATTAATTTATTTTACAACAAATATGAAACAAATGGTCCAAATGGTAGTGAGCAGGTGGTTTTAATGTAGAAAGAAACCAGAGTTTCCAAAGTAAACTCATGTGGTTGGACATGTGACACTTTAACTTTTCATATCAAAACAGGGAATCAAACCACAGTCGTCTTGTTGTAAGCCAAGTGCACTATCCACTGCATACGACCTAGAACTGTACATTAGATTGATTTTTATGTTAACAGGGTTAAAACAAAAAATCAGAAAGACATACTATGTTGATTCTAACCTGGGTAGTTTCAGTGGTCTGGGGCTAGCAGATTTGGTTTGTGTCAATTTAATTCTTCTATAATTACCGGCTATCTAAAAAGTGTGAATGTCGCAGATGAGAAAATATAATTTTATTATATATTGATGTATAAGAATGAGAGGTTGATACTTTTAATCAGGGACTGTGGTGGCCATGTGCTTAAGGCATCTTACATTTTGATACCAACAGCCCTCCACCACTGGATCTCGGGTTCAAGGCCTACGTGAGGCAGTCACTAGGTACTGGATGCAGGTCAGTTGTTTTTCACCAGGTACTCAGCTTTCCCTCACCAACAAACCTGGCTCGACCTTAAACAAAATCGAAGATTCAAATATAAACTGTACATTATAACTTATTGTGTCAGTAAGTTTTTGTAATCTACAAAAATACTCCAGAGGAGATATTGCAGAGTATTGGAAGAAAAAGAAACTCATCACAATTCCAGTCAAAAGAATCAACATCATATGTTAGAGAAGAGGAAAACTCCAAAACATTATGAGACCACTAGTCTAGCTGGATAGTTCACTTGTCTCAGACTAGCGGGCTACCCTTATCGTCTAGACCTGAAACATCAGAATTGTGACTGTGAAATGTTGGACTGATGCATTCACTTCCCCTACAGCTGTATTTGGTGTTCAAACATCAGATTTGTTACTTGTAAATCTTGAGCTGAGCCAACATGGTGTCCACTTGAATGTCACAAGGTGATATCACAATTTAAGTTTAACAGAGGTGATCATTTTTTATTGAACACCGATGAACTACCTTTTTGTGTGGGAGGATTTAGATTGATATTTTGTTGGTGAAAATGATTGCAGAAAATGTCATGCTTTGAATGAGTGAAATATAGTTTGTGCGAGGACATTCACAGGGACTTTGAAGTAATTTTGGTTTATCAGTGAAAATAATGTTTTTTGTAATGTTTTTGTCAAATGTAAGTTATTATTTATGAATTTTGATTTTGATTATTTATGTTTGTAAAAGTGCCAAAGTTTTATTTATCATGCATGTAAACAATACAGAGAGTGATTTATTGAGTATTATTTCATAAATTTCAGGAAATATTCAAAATATGTAAATTGCAGGGGAGCAAAAATGAACCATTCTAATAAAAATCATTTTTTGTTTTATGTATAGCTTTTTGCATATCCTGACAATCAAAACAATGTAAAAGGATCTCTAAGGGTGTCTAATACTTCTAATAATTAAGGAGGAAATATTTTTTATTATCAACCCACTTTTGAAAATGATTTCAGGTGGAGATCTAAATATATTATAACGGCAGCATTTCACACAGGAATTCTAGAAGCAACTTAAATAGCATTGCTGAGTATATTCAAAGTGTACAGAATATCTATTGAAGTCAGGATTATATACAGGGTTTAGTCAAGTCCAATAATTAAGGTAGTACAATTATGATGCAAGGGAGACAAGTCTGTAAATTAGGTGAATTTCAAGTTCAGTTTAAGTTAATTTGCATAACTTCTAAAAGTTTCAGCATATCCAAACATATTTCTTTATTCTTTTTATACATATCTATTCACTCAAAAATGTAGTCACATTATATGTATTACATGTATGCAATGACTTCATTCACAAAAAATCTAGTGGGATGGTGTATTTATTTAATATTAGCAAATTTATATCCCATTCCACTTCTATCACTGTTGGCACTTAATGCTAACTTTCCAGTTTGCTGTATTTAAGTGATGAGAATTTCAGTTGGAATACCAGGTATTTTAAAAGCTCTACATTATTTCTGTTAAAAATTGAGTTCATTGTCGATA